CCCCCCCCCCCCCCCCCGCCACCCCGTTTGATAGCGCATCTCCTCTGTTGTTGGTGTGTCTCCGTCGGTCTGCATTGCTGGCCTCCCTTCTTGCATTTACGGTTGGTTCTCGGATATGCCACAGGGCCTAGGGTCAGGCGAAGACTAGACAAGAGCAAAAAAAGTCAGCCAAGATACAGTCACAGGAACAGCCAATTGAGCGGCCTCACAAATTCACAAACAGGTGTGCTCACACCGAGCGTGCAGCTCAAAACGACAATCTCCTGTGCATTTCCACTCTGTCACAATGCCTCGGCCTGGACAATTCTCATTCGTCAAACGCACGACCCAGAACGTTCCAGCCTTGCCGCTTGGCCCTCCCGCGCAACTCCGCGGCAGCAGTCGCGGCAAACAGCACCAATATGATCGATCTCATGTTGCGCACCGGACTTTACGATTAACTTCTCTAATGCTTTTCATCAGGGACATCACTTATCCGTCCGAACCAGACAAGGCATGAGAGAAGCATGTGGCTCACTCAGATGCAATCAGATGCAATGATGCTCCGATATTCCTTACGCAATGATGATCTCAGGCTTCGTTCGGGCAGCCCGTCCGGGCAGCCCGCTCGGGCAGCCCAGCAGATGGCTGAGCCACTTGGCTGCAGGCAGGCACGCCCAGGGCTTTGTCAACGGCATCCCACCAAGGTGGCTAATGCAAATCCCAGCTGAGGATCACAATGCTGTCAGCCTGCACACGACTACACTCCATGTCAGAGTGATACTACCTTCGATTGATGATCCTGCAATGAACCACAGCAGCCTTGTAAAAAACATCGTTCGTCAGTCTTGATTGCGTCCTTGCGCTGGGGCTGCGGCATTTCCGGCATTCTGAAGTTCTGCCCAACTGCGTCGTGCTCGTACACGCGCCATAAGCCTACACCTCGAAGCGCACTCAAGCGATTGCGATCGTTGATGTACAGCAACGCCAGCTCAATTTACATACCCTGGCTCAACCAGGCCTCTGCAGGGAGCTCTGGAGCCTGAACTCCGGCCGCCCGTACGAGCAAGAAAGCAGGAATCGACCAACACAAAAAAACTCGACATGTGCGTGTTAGAAGCGATACCCTGCCACAGTGCAAGTTGAAACCCTCAGAAACAATATTTCCAAATACAGACAAGTGGCACCACCACTTGGCCCTCGCGACCAATGTTGCATCATTCCCCAGGATGGCTCCACCCTGATGCGATGTGAAAGTGTGTTTGTGTTTCACCTTCCTAACTATCAACAGAAAACCTTAAAGCGATCGAACCTAAACGAAGCTGAACAGCTGCGACAATGCAGCTCAGTATCAACGGGCCGTTCCTAAAGGTGTATGCGCAATTGGAAGCCCATGTTGGAAGATTTCGCAGCGCACGGTTTCGTGCTGTTTCGAGGTGCGCTTTCAACTCTAGGGGTATTCCTCATTGAAGCCTACATGTGCCTGGCTTGGGCCATTTGGCACCGGAAGCCGACAGCAAAAGATCTGCTCAATATGTTGTATTGGGGTTTCTCTTTCAACGATTCATGCTAAGGACATTGCTCCTGAAACAGCTGGAGACTTGGCTTCTCATATCCTTCAACTGCTTGGCGATGGCCGCGCAAGTGGACTTGCGCGGCCAATGTCGGAGATCTGCTCTGTACCGTGCACGTTTTTTGAGGCCTTCGACTTGAAGCCTGGAGCGTCGACCGGGAGGCTTCCGCCAACGCTTCAGCCCACAGGTGTCAACCTTCTGCTTGACTTCAAGTCTGTGGTTTCGTTGCCGTCCGTCGCCCTTCAGGGCTGCCTGACTTTCTCATAGAGGCCACGGGCATCCTAGAGAGAAAACCTTCCCGTGGTCACAGAGTCATATGAATAACGAAATTGGGGCCGATTGCGACTTTCAGCAAGACTCTGAACGAAGCCAACATTGCTGCGCAGAGCAAAGGGCAGATCCTGGCCAGCGGAGAATTGTCTCGAATCGCGCTTCAAGGCCGTTTCCAGACGGGAACAAGCGTTCCAAAACCATCCTCACAACTCATGTCAATGTGACTCCACAGATGCTGAGAGAAGAAAAACAAGGCTAATGAATGATTGGTAATGCTTCTATGGGTGCACACATGCACATCTGATCCATGCAGGATACTGTCTTCGGCTTGCAGGATGGTGCGAGGGATGAGCGGTGTGGAAAAAGCATATTATTCTACCTTGATGAAATCTGTGGATGCCTGGACAGGGAAGGTGCCGCTGTTCTTGGTTCCATCGTGTGGGGGTCATGTCTTTGTCTTTGCTGGGTGCTTCAAACAAATTGCTCCGCTGAGCTTGAACTGGAAAGATAGCAAGAATTGCGGCGGGACGGTGGGGATGCCTCGAGAGTTTTTTGAAACCAGTATGCGCATTGGGACTGTGCACAGCTTGTCGTGCAATATGCTTGCTTTGCCTCTGGTCTCCCTGCCTCACCAACTCCGATCATCTTCTCCGACCGCCTGCTGCTCCAACTGACACGTTCCCGCATGTTAGCAGCTGTATTCTTGCAGGAGGCACAAGAGTCGCCCTTGTTGCGTCAAGTGCTGAGCATGCCACACAGACACCACACTCAGGGTTGCCATTGACCCGACAGGGACTCGAAAGCCACGTACCTCCGCCAAGTCGACAGTTCATCGGCCAGAGTTCCATGAAAACAGTAAGTGGGACATTCCAGCCTAACGAGCAGCATGGAAACTTCCAAAACTTCCAAAGCCAAGAGTCTTGCAATTTGTAAATCTCCCTGTTGAACGGGTTTACCTAGCAGATTGCGACGGGATGGAAACTTTCCTTGGCCAGACACGGTTGAAGCTTTTACCCATGCAGTCCCAATTTCTGCAGAGCATGGCACATTGCAGCTTGCCCCGTAGGACTCACAGGCATCCTGCGTCACTTCACGAAGGCCGCCAATGCATCAGACTCGTGGACTGCAGCAATTCCGAGTGGGAGGCCTCACAAAGCCACAGCCCCTTCTCCTTGCAGAGGGCCTGGTCAGGTGACTGTCAAGCTTCCAAAACCTCACGTCGAGGACAAGTGCAGGCTGCAGGCCTGGATGGCGCCAAAGTCGCGTGCCGGCACGCCGTAGCATGGAGCGATGACAATGCCCACAACGCCCTGCACTCTTGGAAGCTAATTCGATCATGCAGTAAAGCCAGCGACTTGCATCACAGGAAGTTGTTGACCGAGACGGATGTCAAGTTCGACGAAAGCGCTAGTTGTCGAGTACTACCCTTTCAACACTCTGGGTGACTTTCAGCATGCTCGTCTAGGTGTGCTGGCAAAGCGCACACATCCTCCGCACTGCCAGACCCCTAGTGGTTAGTGAGCCTTGTTGGCTTCGAGCCCGCTCCGCACCGCTTCCAACGACAGGCCGTAAGAGTCCAAGTCGCAGTCGATGGGGATGGGCCTTCGTGTCAGCCCATGTCAACTCTCAGAATCTCAGAACTCTACAAGCCGAGGCTTCGATTTTGGACTGGCGAAACAGTCTACATGGCGTGAGGACACAACAGGACATGCAGAATTTGTGCCTGCCACCAGCATGGACGATGGCATCGGCGCATGCGGCACCTCGATGCATAACTGATCGCTATCTTCACATACGAGTATGTCTGTGCATATACATACATACATACATACATACATACATACATACATACAATACAATACAATACAATACAATACAATACAATACAATACGGCACGGTACGGTACGATACAATACAATACAATCATACATACAGTGCATACAAGACAATACAATACAATACAATACAATACAATCATGTACAACCATATACAATCATATACAATCATACAATCATATACAATCATATAAAATCGTACACATACATACCATACATACCATACATACCATACATACCATACATACCATACATACCATACATATCATACATACCATACATACCATACATACCATACATACCATACATACCATACATACCATACATACATACATACATACATACATACATACATACATACATACATACAAACCATACCATACCATACAATACGGTACAAAACGATTCATACATACATACATACATACATACATACATACATACATCTTGTTTCACTTTCGGCGTAGCAGAGTTCGTGTGTCGGCTTGCGAAGCGGAGGACAGGGGTGGGGCATACCACTACTACTACTACTACTACTACTACTACTACTACTAGTACTACTACTACTACTACTACTACTACTACTACTACTACTACTACTAGTACTAGTACTAGTACTACTACTATTACTACTACTACTAC